CACACAAATTTCATCCATTATTAATTTTCTTGACACGTTTTCTATTTGTAATAATGTCATTTATTTTGTTATTGAAATAAAGCAAAACATGATGATATTTCATAGGAGATGTGTGTGTTATTGTATAGATTTCATATTAGCCAATGTCACTTTGAGCTGATTGTTTTTTGCTTGGTTATAGTTGTCATGGAAACAATAGCAAATTGAAAGTAGTCATTTAGAACTGTTATCATAGAAGCTATAATCAGATTGAAGAGGAAGGAGTAAATGCCCTGATTGAAACGTATATGGATAGAGTCGAGTTGTAGTATCACATGAATTAATGATTGCATGTACCGGTACATAACATATCACTAAAAATTAGAAATGAATTGGTATGTAGCCTACCTTACAAGACTCAGTAGCTATACTATGTAAGTCATGTGATAATTTGGTCCATCCATAGTCTTGATTTAAATGATATCTATTCTATACTGCTTCCATAATTTGCTGATTATTTGATTTTGATTCTATCCTATCAATGATACCACAGACTGGCAACATTTTTCTCATTAAAAAATGAGTTCCATTGTACGTGGTTACAGTCTGATTATTGGCAATCAATACCAGCACTGGTGCTTTATTTTCTTAGTATGGTAATCATCATTGATAGTAAATTCACTGTTTTTTGAGCAGGTTATTTTTATACTGAAATAAGGAGATTGTGTGTAGGTGTTAGACTGGTAAACGGGAAAGTCTGCCTGTGTATTGTATATATGCTGCCCTAAATGGGTGGGTGAGTGTAATGATGTAATAATGAATGAAATGGGGTTTAACCAGGCTAATGAAGACCACTGATGATGCAATACAGAGAAAGAGAGAGAGAGAGAGAGGGTTAACTCCTCAACACAAACTAGGTCATTTCGGGACTAACATATGGTTTAAATTTTATTTCAATAATTCACTTGCCTGTAGTGATCTTTAGCAGTGGGAGGAAACTGGAGGACCTAAGGAAAACCCACCAGGTTGGATAGGCAACCCTACTCCTTGTCACATACAACCGGGGAATCGAAACCACGGCAGTTGACTCAATGACAGACCTTATGATACAGCGCGCACATGCTAACAATTCAGCCATCCAGCCCTACATCTGAACCAAAAAGAAAAGGAATTGGGCAGAATTTAAGAAGGTTGTTGATAATGAATTTTGATTGACTATTAGCCGGCAATATCAAGTGAGAGTTAGCAGGGAATTAATTTGCTATTATTGTTAATTTTGTTAACAATTTGCATTCACTATTCGATTTTCTTTTTTACTTGTTTTAATGTAATATTCCACATCTTTTTGCTTGAATTTGCTAGGGCAGTTGCTGCTTGTATGGTCATAGCATAAAGCCTACAATCTAATTAAAATGAGATCATTATTTTGTTTTGCATATTTTTATAGACACCTGGCAAGACTTCCCATTAAAAAGAATATTTTCATGTAACAAGTTGATCGACATGCTGGATTTTGTCTTTGACCACAGGTTAGAATGAATAGTGCATTCTCAGTCCGATCTATAAGAAAATAGATATAAACCAATTAGTACAATATCATGACATTGTATAGTGTTTCCATGAACTGCTGGTTTGTCATGTTCTATTTTGTGATGTTGTGTGATGAGGTGTATATCTCACCACTCCCTTTACAAAACAAAAAACCTACCTATTATTCTTAAACATACATTATGCAAGAGCTAAATTTGCCTTTTGCAAGCCTTTCTTTACGCCTTAAATGTTATCTAAATTATTAATTAGACATTAATTAACTTATCCAGACCATAATTAACTCTCGATATCATCGCTAGCTTGTGATGTTTATTTGGATTAGGTTCCGATTTGCTGTTCGACTTCCATTCATGATTTAATCATGAAATGGATAATCAAGATTATGTTTTTTATCGTACCGACTTTAGTAATGATGATCGAGGCTAGGTCAAAAATTCAGTTGCTAAAAACTTAGTTCAGATTGGATCAATTTGACTGAAATTTTCAGCAAATTCCCTTTACATTATCTATTTTTTAACTATAATAGTGAGAACTGCCAGCTCTTTATCAAATCTCCCATAATGTATCTTTAAAAGAACATTATATAGTTGTTTAAACATTTTAATGCAAATAATTTACAACAGACTCAGGACAATTATATAGTTAGATAACAACATGTACTTTTACCTTTAAATTTAAATACCGTGCTCTTGAAAATCACCTGGAAATAAATGATAAGCATGACAGGTTTTCTTTCTTTTCAGTTAATCAATTTTGACAGATATTTCCCTGACAGTAGATTTCTATATAGTTGTTTTGAAATTAACAAGTGACTTTGTATGGGCTTTGGAAATGTATACATGCCCTTGGTTTTTTGCTAAAATACATTTTGAAAAAAACCCAACCTAAATATTAAAGTGTAAAAGCCTGAGAAAAGCCATCCTGACACTTGCACGATTTTTGTTCCCGCAGTGACGCACACTTTAGTGTGTCAATGATCAAAGTCTTCGGGTACGAGCGTGAGGAGTGTGTGAAGGATGCAGGTGTGCACACATCAATGTTCGTACAATGTGCAAACTTGACGTGAACACTGCATATCAATGCGTGTCAGTGGGTGCCATGGGAATCCACTACAAGCAGCAGACATGAACAATGCGCGAACAATACTTAACCTAAGTGTAAACCATTAATGCTTTACAATGTGGCCTATTTTTGGCTGAGCATTATGAAATTCAGCTGAAGATTTGATTTCTGTTCCCCTTGCTCCAGTCTTTAAAATAACACCTCTAGAAGATCAAGTTATTTAGTACCGTATCATGTGATATCTAGTATTCTATAGACTGTAGACCAGTCTACTGAGAAGCCACTGTGACTCGGTGAGTATGATGCTGGCTCTCTAACCAGGAGGTCCTGGGTTTAATCCCACTTTTGGTCAAGAAAGTTCCTCAGGATTTTCAAGCCTGGTGCAGGACGAAGTATACCATTATCAATAAGCATAGACAATAGCGCCGCTGCCAAGGCAAAATTCCCCACATGGCCGCTTTTCGTTAGCCAGGTTGGTGCAGAAAATTAAAATGTTAAACCCGATGTATTGCACCTTTACATTAAGTTTATAATTTTGCCAAATCTTGTTAGTTGCTGTTTGATGAAAGGTAGATAATGTGTCAATGTACTTGTCTGACACCAGGGAAGGATTGGGATCAGTAATTTGAATATTGTTAAATAAGTTCATATTCTCCAAAGCTATTATTACATGCGTCATTAGCATTTATATAGACTGTTGTATATACATTATATACTGTGGCTTATTAACTTACAAGGGCTATACATGTATACCTATAGTATAAACTAGTACAATTGTTATATACCCCATACTAAATTGAAGTAGGTCCAGTGTGTTTATATTACAAGTAGTAAACATAATAAACTATTGATTTCAAAGTTGACATCATTTGACCAGAAATAATGGCAGGTTATTTAAGCGTACAATCTTTTGATTATCTTTGATTGCATGTAATAGGTTTATCAGCCTATGTAAAAATTTGGTGTAGATCACATAGTTTTAAAAATAATCCAAGTAGTAACAATTTAATATTTAAGGCTTGACACATGACTAATGGAAGTAATAGAGCAACCCAATTCAGTATTTCATTTTTTCTTAATGTCTCAGTGCGGCATTTACATTTTTCGGGAATATATGAAATTTTCCATGACTTAATCCAATGCTAAAATGTGTTCAGATTTGAATATTTAACATTTAAAGGGGCATCATGGAGGATTAGATATATTTCAGTTAAATAGCTCCACTCTGAACCGTGATATTAGCTTTTGAATTTTAGGCTAGCCTCGATCATCATTACTTAAGTCGGTATCGAGAGTTGATTATGGTTTGGATGAGTTAATTAATGTCTAATTGATAATTAAAGATGGGTTCCCAGAAAAGTATTTATCGGGTGGTTATTTCCAATAAAAGTATGGCAATTTTGGTATATATGGAAAGTAGAGATATCCAATCTTACTAGAAAAATACTGGATTCCCCGAAAAACACTCATGGAGCGTATACAGGACAAAAATGTAAGGGTTCCCCTAATCAACAGCCCGACGATTAGGAACTTCTGCACGCGTGATGTCAAAGGTCACAAGCGAACATTGAGCGCTTGATGTACAAGTTGATAAACTTTATGAAGAGTTAGACGTACAATACTCTCGGAGATAAAAATGACGGAAAAAGACGTGGGTAGTGGATAATCCGAGAATTTAATTAGGTTTCGATATTTGTAATAAATAGTAAGCGATTAAAGAAAACATCGTCTTATGTATGCAATAAATTCTCCTCTGACTCCCAAGACGTGACGTAAACATGACCTGATTTGATCGAATTTTAATAGCAGGACATTCCTTCGCAATTACAATGTTTGAGAGGGATTTGAAGCATAATTATGACAAGTTAATTAGTTTGAATATGTTTTTGGTCCATATATACCATTAAATCACCCAGTTTGTATGCGGGAACCCATCTTTAAGATAGCATTTCAGACCTAAAGACAGACCTGCAATAGGCAGATTTAGCTCTTGCATAATGTATATTTAAGCAAACAAAATCAGGATATTAAGGGTAGATAATCTGATGGATTGGATTCAATTGTATTAAAAAGAGGCCCAACAAAAGATACAACGAAACTCATTGTTGCTGGCTTATGTTGACCATGTTATCAGCTGTTGATGCCGAATGATGATATATTTTCAATTCATCATATCTTTGTAAATACTGAACAGAATTGAACCATTTTTGAACTAATATTCCAATTACAGATCCAACCTTCACAATATTGCAGTTTATAAGGGATTAACAATCCCTCAACTGATGTGGGTTGTTGTTGATTTTCTTGTGTTGGTACAATCATGCCAAAATCCCATTTCAGCTGCCTCATGTCGCACTGCTCTGCATATGAATATCTTTCTCATATTGATTATTGTTATTCTTTTGCAGTTTACAGTATTTGCATCTGGAGCTACGATTGGTCAGCAGATTTTGAATATTCAGTATAGAGATAAAACAAGCTTATCATGGATTGGTCAAAGACAGAAAATTATGTATGCTCTGTTAGTGATTGGTTGTCCATTGTTAAAAGAAAGGTCAGGGGAAATAACTACGGGTCTTGGACTAACCAGATGGAAGAATGTGGTGTGTAAAATAATATTGTTTGTAATATTAACAACTGTTTCTCCATTTCAGTCTAATTAGGGATTACAGTTTCTATTCCTGGAACTGGATGACTGCCTTTATCACATAACTTCAAATGTCACATTTACTGTACAACTCTATTGAACATGTGTTTTTAACATTGTGTGTGGTGTGGTTCTCCTTCATTTAACATTATTGTTATGCAGGCTTTGGAAGACACATCCCCTCTAGTATTTTGTCTGGCACAGATTTGTTCTTTTTTTTGTGATTTTATTGATGTTTATAAATATAATAGAAGTCTGGCATAACGTTATAAATAATGTCAGGTACTAGTTCAGCTGTGAATTTTTCATTGGCTAAATATGAGGGGTAAGTTAGGTCATCTTAAAGATATTGTTAGACCTAACTTTAGCGTCAATATAAACAACATAAAACAAACAAAGAACATACAAAACATCAAAAGTGATTTCATTTTGATTCACCAAACAAAAGTGAGTGAGGGATGTTGAAATGGGCTCCGTCGATCCATCCTTCCTTCCGGTTTTATTTCCCAGGTACAATGTAGATCTCATAAACCATTCAAGATATCTTTTTGAAACTTTGTACACACACCAATCTATTATTTATAGTAATTATCCCTTTGCTAATTAGAAATTACTCAAATTTAAGAATTTTGTTCTTCAATGGAAAGAAATTTGACATAGTTTTTGGTATACAATGTGCAAGATGTTGACGACTTTGTTTATGTTTTTTTTTTTATAACAGATCAACAAATGTTTATCATGGATAGAATCAACAATAAAGCTAGCAACAGTTTTAAATTTTTTAGTATTTTTAAATCGTGGTGGATATTTATCACTGATTGAGAGAATAATGGGTATTCAGTCCATGTATCCACAACGACAAAGTATCAGACAAGTATGTAACAATATTTAGTTCTTTTATTTCACAATATAATTAAAACTGTATCCTTATTTTGTTTCGCTTTTATGGTTCAAATTGTCTACACTACAACTAAAAAATCAAATTAAATGCATTGGGGTTTAAAGGCCTACTTTTCTGCACCGACTGGGCTAATGAAGATGGACATACGACCTTCAGTGTGCCATGAGGAAAGTATGCCTGAACAGCAACGCTACTGCCTACTCTTTTATGCCACATTTTCATGTGGATGTATATTGTTGTCGCCACTGTCCCCGGACGTGTCCACAATTTGTTTGTGGACACTGTACAGATCACAATTTTTATCCGATTTTAACGAAATTTGAAATATAGGTTTAATATATATCCCAAAGATCTAGGCTCCTTTTGATATTCGCGCATATCAGACCATAACTTCCTGGATTATGTCCGCTGATTGTATGAAAAATCACATTTTTAGCTAGTGAAACCTCTAGAGGTCACAGTTTGTATCTGAGTGGGCTGTAACGCCGCTGTCCGGGCAAAATTTCCCTCATAGCACACAGCATGGTGTATGTCCGTCTTCATTAGCCCAGCTGGAGCAGCACAGTAGGACATTAAACCCCATATCATTTCATTGACTGTACTAATTTTTGACGTAGGGGGCATTAGTATTGTTAGAACACTTGGTTCAGACCAGATTATCCTGGGTATAAATTTCTGCGATTGCTGAGATAAATCTTTTGGGATTTTTCTAGAATTGTTTTCACTTGTTGGTACTGTATACAGTGCATTTTTTTTTTTTCAGGTTAGTTTTGAATATATGACAAGGGAATTGTTATGGCACGGATTCTCGGTGAGTACAATTTATCTGATGTGTAGCTTTTATTTCAGTACAAATCCTCATCATCCGCAAAAACTAATTTTATTTGAAAATATTATTTCTCTCCAGCCATGAGTTCATGGCTTGTTATGAACAGGAATGGAATGGTATATGGGATGAAATTTTACTATTATTGACATGAGATGTAAAAATGTGGTCCACGTCATGTGTTTATAATTCTCAAGCAAGATTTGCTTAACATCATGCTTAACCCGTTAAGTGCGTAGGTCGTTATATAAGTCCTGGACAACTGCCACTCACTGTGTGTAGGGCGTAATATAACGCCTTGGAGGTATTTTCCCCAACCTATTCTTAGAACATAGTTCGTCACTTTGGGGAATCCCTTGGGAATTCCCCCACGATCGCAGCATGTGTAGGACGTTATATTACGTGAAAATTTTTGAGTAACTACAACTTAAGTCTGAGAATGGTTTGTGAACTTGGGGCCAGGTAATTGAAACATGAGGAATATTTTAATTTAGCAACAGAAATGTGAAAATATTGACATATTGACGTGAGAATAAACATTATTAATTATTCTCCGGTTTCTTATTGCTACATACTAAAAGTTATTTCCAGACTATTAAAATAGATTTGTTTCGGTTTTTTAAATTAACTAAATTGTATATTATGTCTATTTAACAGGAATTCTTATTCTTCATTCTACCACTGATAAATCTACAGAAAATTAAAAATACTATAAAAAGATTAAGTTTACGAAAGACAGTGCCAAGTAAACAGAACATGACAAGATCCAATCAAAATTTAACAAGTTGTGTTGTGTGTACAGATTGGCCGATTCATCCCCACGAGATCGGTTGTCAACATGTGTTTTGTTATTTTTGTATTCAAGTAGGTATCCACGTTAAATTGATCGATGAATGTTCAGTAAATAAATGCATGGTCTGAATATTTTCGCATTATCCTAAGCCCATCAGATGCAATATGTAGACCCACTATGGTGTCCAACTGCATGTCTCTTAGTCCAGAACACCCAGACTATATATCTTAGGTAATGTCTTTTCCATGGGAAGTCACTCCACTTAACGAAAATTGTCTTTATTACAACTTTTGGTAACTTTCACTTGCAGGAGATTGAGTGGAAAATCGATGTATATATCTCCCCTATATCTCGGGGGTTGGATGGCCGAATGGTTAGCATGTGCGTGCTGTATCAGAAGGTCCATCATTGAGTCAATTGGCTTGGTTTCGATTCTCCGGTTGTATGTGACAAGGAGTAGGGTCGCCTGTCCAACCTTGCAGGTTTTTCTCCAGGTCCTCCGGTTTCCTCCCACTGCTAAAGACCCCTACGCGCAAGCAAATTATTGAAATAAAATTAAACCATATGTTGGTCCCGAAATGACCTAATTTGTTTCGATTGGACGTTAAACCCCATTTCTCTCTCTCTCTCTCTCCACTATATCTCAAAAGTCTTTTATAATGTAAATATTGTTGACACTTGGTTAATCGAGCACATCTGTATATTAAAAAACCTTCTTGAAGACTTGGCTGGCTTGTGCAAAAAAGATATTATTATTATTACTATATTTGTAAAAGAGACATGAAGATGGCAGTGTGAAATCAATACAAAACAATGTAAACTTGAAAACGGATTCATTCACTTGATTTGATATTTGTTACTTATTTCTTGTAATGTCTATGTAGTTTGTCTTGTGCGCAGGTTTGTCTTGTCGGTTTTGTTTTGCGTGTTGTGCAGTTCTTCTGGACTTATTAAAATGGATTGATTGGAATAATTTTTGGATCAGATTTTTAAAAAAAAATAAAGACATGGTCTTAAAGTCTTACTTCTAATCATCTGGAATGTCACTCTACATCTAGCCTCGGCTGTATGACGAAGTCCGCCATTGGAGCTACTTTCAAGTTCCTGAATTACCAACGGTGTTGCCCATGACAACACCTTTGAAGAATGCTTTATTATCATTCAAATATTTCAAATTTTTCTTTCAAGTTTATCCGATTTTCTTCAAACAAGGACAACTTTGCACTGAAAATTCTACATACGCTTTGAACTACACAATTTTGATAACTTCGTTATAATAAGTAAACCGGTGCCGCATCGCAATTATATAGGCGTAGGTACATATCCCTTACCGTCATACAGCCAAGGCTAGATGTCGAGTAACGGAATCTGCCGAGGTTTACCGAGTGCTTGCATGTTAGTGCTTTAATCATCAAATTATTGTATATTACAGAGTAATTATAAAGCTGACCCAGGATTCACCTGTCCATTATGTAATTATCCAATTACAAGTAAAGATTGTATAAAACCATCAGAAATACAGATAATGCCAGGCAGATAATACAAATGGTTTTTATATCCAGAGGCAGATAATTCAGATGGTTTTCATATCCAGAGGCAGATAATACAAATGGTTTTATATCGAGAGGCAGATAATACAAATGGTTTTATATCCAGAGACAGATAATACAGATGGTTTTCATATCCAGTGTCAGATAATACAAATGGCTTTTTATATAGAGGGTTGGGTGGGGTGAAATTTTGCTATTAAGAGTGTCATTCAATACGTTTCATTGTCTGGGTCAGGGATGGTATTTCACCTGTATATTCCAGCCTTGTTCGACGCTATTTTCCAAACGCCCAAAATTGTCCGACCGGTAATATGCCCAATCGGACATCAAGACATTGAATAATATTCAAAATTCCAAAATTAATATAGTGTACTGAGTGTATACCTACTACTGAACATGGTTATTGTTAATAATAGGATGGATTAATTAGGTAATTAAGTGATCAAGGTATTTATCGTGTTATACTGTCTATACACCTACCTTGATTAACTACTTAATCTGCCTTGATTGACTGACTTAATCCTTTGTCGGAAAATTCATCAATCTAATTTTAAACAGAAATCATTGCTTCCCCTTTGTCTGACAATTCATCAATCCAATAAATGCGATTATAATTTTAATCCACATGTTTACCTTGTGGTGTCTCCATTGTCTGGGTCCATAGCGTGTTGGGTAGAAACTATATATCTGCACAAATGATTTTATATCGAAGGGTTGGGTGAGGTGAAATCTTGCAGTCAAGAGTGTAGTTCAAAATGTTTCATTGCTTTTGGACCCATATAGCGGGATGAGTAGACAATGATTTTATATCAAAGAGTGGTAAGAAACTAAATATCTACAAATATGAAAGTTTACATGGAAATGAAGAAATATCCTATGAAAGTAAAGACAAGGCCAAACAAATTTGGAGTCTGTTCTTCAGGAATACTTATTAAAATTTGGCTTCCGATTCTTTAGGGGAGTGGGGGAATAATTTCAAAATAAACAAATATACATGGTTGCTCGTCTCAAAAGGAGGGGTTGGCACTAGGGACCGGGTATCATTCAGATTTGATGAAAAAAGGAAAGAAACTGAGCTTACCATCTATAATCTAATACACATATTCAGTTAATAGATTGCCATGCAGAAAGTGTTAAATACCATCAAGATTCATCAAAAACCGCCCAGTTTGTGGTACAGTTTTGTTTGACATCGGTTGTCTAGTTTATGAAACTAAATGGTCATAAACTGGATGACCAATATCAAAACTAAACTAAATGGTCATAAACTAGATGACCGATGTCAAAACTAAATGGTGTTTCTTAAACTAAACGGTAGCACAAACTGGGCGTTATTTGATGAATCTTGATGGTATTTAATACATCTCATGACTTTTGACCAAATCTGCAGTTGACCTTAATAATCAAACCTAACCCAGCTTTCATTGTTAAAATTATAAGAGGCTAGTTATGAGATTTAACAGCTTTCTTTTCTGCATCAACCAGGATAATGAAGAAGGCATCCAACATGTTATAAGGGAAAGCTTGCCCTGACAGTGGTATTGGAACCTACTCTGCATCAAATTCCGAATGCCATGGCATCCTTTATGTGCATGGTAATGAGTAAACAGGTGGACCTCCAGTGTTTATTCCATCCGAACAACTAGACCGTTTCCCATACCAGCCCTTCCATCCTGCACCACTGACAAGGGGAAGCCAGGCTGGAAAATCCAGAGGAACTTTTGAAGTCAATTCGAGGAGACAATAAGCCAGTAATAACAAAAAAAAAAACAATTATATTATCAATGTTTGTACAACATTTACACATCAAGTCTCTTCATTAAAATTCACATTATCTAGAGATTGGATTCCCTGTAAATCATCAAGAGCACGGCCACAGTTTCGAACTTTTCCTTCAACAAGAGTTAACTTCTCTTTGATTTCATTGTTTTGAGATGTAATTTTTTGTTCCTGCACCTCAAGTGTTTTTATCTCTTTCTCTAACTTGTCTAACTCTTGTTTCTTCTGTTGTAAAAGTAAGGATTTTTCAATTCTCTGATTAACAACCTGGTCCAATCTTGAATCTGTATCTAAAAAAAAAAAGAAAAGAAAAACATTAAAAAAATAGAGAAACAAATATTTAAAGGAGCTAAATCGCTAACATTTGGGACCTAGAAATTGACACAATTGGGTCGCAACGCATATAATACTGTAATATGAATGTATATAAACTGATTTATATTCAATAGAGAAACAAATATTTAAAGGAGCTAAATCGCTAACATTTGGGACCTAGAAATTGACACAATTGGGTCGCAACGCATATAATACTGTAATATGAATGTATATAAACTGATTTATATTCAATGGTTTACGTTTTTATTCTAATTTCAAATCAGTTATGTTCAGCGAAATGAGCCAGCAGTCTCAATCGAATGCAAATTTCTAGCGTCTGGTTATTCCAGTCTACATAGTATTTATTGCGCATGGTCTCCAGATAAGAATATGGCGACGCCATTTGATTTGGTGCAATGTGTCTAGCCTCGTTCCTCGAGTCTATTGTTACAACCGGGGCTGAAACAAATTATGGTACACGATTCGTGTACCAATGGTAAAATGTTTATTTTGTCTTAAATATTGGATATCAGAAGCCCATCTTTTTTGGGAAGATCACAGCATCAATGTTGATTTAAACTGACTAATAATTTGTGTTTTCAATGTTGAAGATTTTGGATCATATTGAGTTAGAGACTTAGCTACTTTAAAGTTACAATTTCACATTTTCTAAGAAAGTCAAAACATATATATTTCTATGTCTATTATACGATCTTTCTCACACTTAAAAATCTTCACACAGGAAATAATAACACAACTAGAACTGCGATGCAGTAATGACGGGTTTCACCGGTGCCACGTTACCCTAAACATATGTCACTTCCGGTACCAATGAAACCATTAAACAGGTTTCCACCTCATCATTGCACACATCAAATAAAATGGACGCCGAATCAACCAAATCCAGCAATATCAATTCATTTTATATATTTATTACATGTAAGTGTACAGTACTTCCGGTGATAATGAAAATATTCAATTAGTTTTATAAAATCAGAAATGGCATAAGGCATCACATGGTGAAAATTTTATGTAAATCGAATAATAATTGCCACTTTTATAGACCAAAAACCTTAAAAAGTGACTTGTAGAAAACCGTCAATTCCTCTGCAACCATACAAGTTAAAACCATTTTCTGGAATCTGTATGATCGTATGGGTTTATTCTATTTGTTGATTGGAATCAAATATCATAATTTTAAAAACATAACAACTCAGACTCATTTAAATAAAATAAATGTTTTGAAAGCTAAAAATACAGTTTTTGCCAAAATGACGTTACTTCCGGGGATAATGAAAATCTTAAATTACTTGTATGAAGTCGTAAATGGCATTAGGTATCACATAGTGAAAATTTCATGAAAATCGAATAATAATTGACACTTTTATGGACAAAAAACCTTGAAAAGTGACCTGTTGAAAATTACCTATTTCTCTACAACTGAACAAGTTAGAAACCATTTTGTGATACCTATATGATCGTATGGGTTCATTCTATTAGTTGATTAGAATCAAATATCAAAATATTAAACAAACAACAAATACGACTCATTTCAATAAATTATTTGTTTCTAAGGCTATAAATACAGTTTTTACCCAAATTTCGTCATTTCCGGTGACATGGAAAATGTTAAATTGAGTTGAACTAGTCACAATTGACATTATGCATCAAATGGTGTCACTTTTGTGAAAATCCAATAATAATTGACTCTTTTACAGACATAATAGCGTAAAGAGTGACTCATGCAAAATTGACCATTTCTCGGCAACTGCTCATATTACAAACTAATTTTGAGATAGATTCTCTTCCTATGGATTAATGCTACAAGTTTATGAAAGTTGCGAAGAAATATTTTAAAATATGAAAAGCCTGAATGGGTTGTAAATAGCTCATTTTTTCACCTTTTTTCACCTTTAAATCAAAATGACCCGAAAACGAAATCAAAATTAAAAAAACTGAGCCCGATGTTTACTGCGCCTTTACAGGGCACACACTTTCAGTCATACCAGATTTGAAAAAAATAATATTTGCTTTCAAAAAGTGGTACCGAACTGTCAAAATTGTAGTTTTTGCTAAATTTACGTCACTTTTGTGAAAATCCAATAATAATTGACTCTTTTACAGACATAATAGCGTAAAGAGTGACTCATGCAAAATTGACCATTTCTCGGCAACTGCTCATATTACAAACTAATTTTGAGATAGATTCTCTTCCTATGGATTAATGCTACAAGTTTATGAAAGTTGCGAAGAAATATTTTAAAATATGAAAAGCCTGAATGGGTTGTAAATAGCTCATTTTTTCACCTTTTTTCACCTTTAAATCAAAATGACCCGAAAACGAAATCGAAATTAAAAAAACTGAGCCCGATGTTTACTGCGCCTTTACAGGGCACACACTTTCAGTCATACCAGATTTGAAAAAAATAATATTTGCTTTCAAAAAGTGGTACCGAACTGTCAAAATTGTAGTTTTTGCTAAATTTACGTCACTTCCGTTGCCGAAAGGTAACTTTACCGGTAACAAAAAAAATGACATTTTGGATTACGGAGCATATGAACTTTGTTTTATACAAATCGAGCAATAAATAATTAATCCAGGACTGAAAAACTGAATTAGCCAATGGGGGGTCAAGGAAATTTACGATGACAAAATATGGTGCCATCTTTGGTCAAATCAGATGACTCTTTAACCCTGGGTAAAATACCACATTAAAATATTCATGAATAAAAAAGTTTTTTGTAAAAATTTAAATTTTCAAAATTTGGCGCCTAATATCTCCGACGATTCGTGGAAAATCAAAAATCTAAAGAACCGTGGCTATGTGCCTTGTCTCTGGCTATGTCAAAATGTATCCAATGTTAAAATCCGACGATTATTGTTAATATTACGGCAATATTTCAAAAATCGACAAATTCGACGATTTCGGACATTTCGCATTGTCGCAGAACGTTCGAAATAGCTTTAATCTCTAAGTCACACCCACTTTTCCAGTAAAACCGAAGACATCGAATCAATCCAACAAGTAGTTTCTGAGATACAATCAAATTGGAAAAAAAAAAAAAATAATAATAATAAGAATAATAATAAGAATAATTTTAACAAAAACAATAGTGTTTCACACAAGCTACGCAGTGTGAAACCCTAATTACCTCCCAATTAACTCCCTTGTTTTCTATTCCCCACCATGGAATAGCTATCTGCAAATGTTTGAATTTGAAGTTGAAAATGATATTTTTGCAAATTTCTCCACTGGCAATAGTGAATTATAGGATTAATAGGATTATTCTTTAACAAGGTAGGACTGTTTATAGATATCATCTATTTTAGGGCTTTATTTTAATACATTTTAAAAATATAACTTAAAAATATGAAATTGTAACTTTAACCAACTGCAGAAAATTATTAGCCAAGTGTAGAAGCATACAGCTGTCATTTAATTAAACTGCTGATTGTCATTTGCGGGATTTTTTCTGTTGAAAAAGTGAGCAAAAGAGAAATGGCCAAAATTTATTTCAAAATTTATGTGAATATGTCATTTGATTCATAACAAATCTTTGACTGTTTTTATCACTCTATGGCTGTTCGTACACCTCCTATAAATGTTAGCTAAAATCTAATGATTTGCCCCTTGTTAATCCAATTTAATCAAAATGAAATAGGGTTTAACGTCTTACTGTTCTGCTCCTACTAGTCTAATAACCAGTGGCATACATGTATGCCATGCAGTGTGCTATAAGGGAAATTATGCCCAGACAGCGGTGCTATGGCCTACTCTTATATCAAATTCCAACTGTCAAGGGTTCTTTTACGTGCATGCCACGGGACCTCAACATCCTACCCACTGAGCCACCGTGGCTCCACCCAATTTAATCAAGGTAGGGAGTTTTGTTTTGTTAATTAGATATTAATTTGAATAATTTTAAAAAGAGCGAATAATAAATGTAGTCTGTAGAGTGTTCACGAGAAACAGTGGATGCCAGACACTGGCAGACAGACAGATGTACTGACCTATGAATAGACGGGGACGACGACAATACACAACCACATTTCTTGTGGGCGTTTTGGTAGATAGATTCTAGTCTAATAGAGACATACCTTTACCCAGTGTTATTAAATTCTGTAAACTCTTTTCAGCTTCTAATAAATCGGTCCTAATTTTCTCTTCTAACTTTTTTGATGTTTCTCGGTCACAAGACTTCATATATTGCATTAATCCTTGACCAGTTTCTATATCTATAAAAACAATATTTTGAACTGAAACTTTGCTTAATTTCTTCACATGCTGGCAATAATTTGTCTACATAAACAAATTTTTATAAACTAGTACACACTTGAAAATATTTCTATTCATTTCTATGAAACACGGTCTGGCCTGAAAATTTCTAACAAAAACTATTGATATTTGTCACGCAATAGAAATCTCCTTTAAGTGTGATGGATGTACATGGACAAACCCATTTTAATGGTCCCCTGCTTTCTTTCTTCGAAATTAAATTCCTGTTGTTAACTGTGACCATATCTGAATAACTGATAAACAAAACAAAATGGTTCTATTCGTATTCTAGTTTTAAATCATTTGCTATTCTCACAAGCAAGCATTAAATTCTTTGAAACTTTACCTTTTTCACTAGAACTTTGTAACTCCTCCCCTTCTGACTTTCTGCAATATATAATAATAATACTGATAGTAAAAGAATAAAAACAGGTGCTTACACAGAGAAGGGGGAGGGGGGGTAGCAAAGGAGTCGGGGGGGGGGGGGGGGATAGAAGGAGGGAGAGATTATGCTGCCTTCCTTTTCTATTATCAAGATACAATCTTGATATTTACAAGAGTTATGTTTCTAGTACCTTAAAATATACATCGATTTGTTCATTGATGAGGTATATCTCGTTGATTTAGGTCAAAACAGACTATAATATGGACTGATCTGATGAGTTATGGGGCAAGCTTTATATGATCAATTTTTATCTCCTTAAGATTAAGCCAACTCTAGTTTTGGCTCATTGTGTTGATTATATCTCAGCACAGACAGATTAGCACACTGATCAGCAGTGAATATTCGCTAGGCCGCTACAATCACTGATAAGGATGATATCGTCATCGATGCGACTTAATGAGCCACACATATTAACTTTTTTCCTCTGACAATTGGGGGATCAAGTGGCTAAGTGGGTAAGGCGCTGGCTCGCTAGCCTGGAGGTCGGGTGTTCGATCCCTGCATTGGCCGAGAAAGTTCATCTCGATTTTCTGGCGTGGTTTCCCCTTGTCAGTGATATAGAACGGAGGGCCTGACAAGGACAGCTGCCTAGTCGTTCGGATGGGACGAAAAACCGAAGCCCCATTTTCACATTGGCGTGCACGTAAAAGATCCCTTGGCAGTTGGAATTCGATATAAGAGTAGGCCGTAGCGCCGCTGCCCGGGCAAAATTTCCATCATAACACACTGTATGCGTATGCCCGTCTTCAATTAGCCCAGGTTAGGTGCAGAAGAGTAGGACGTTAAACCCCATTTCATTTCATTTCATTTCCTCTGACAATTTAAATTCTGAAATATTATTTTTATGTATTAGAAAAATAAATAAAAACATTTGACGCATTTGTAGGTAAAAATTATTTCCTACTTAGTGTAAATGAGTATTAAAATGAGTAAAAGGCTCCATTCTGCCTGAACCAGTAAGGTCTTATGTAAACAATGCACGCGCCATTGAGCCAATGATTGACGCCGCATGATGAGACGTCGCGTGTTGAAGGTAGTCATCTTTTACAGAGATATTAGAAGACTTGTGTAATCCTCTGTGAAACAGATTGACAGATTAGATCAACAAATGAATGTTTTTAGTATAGCATTTAAAAATACTTACAGACTACATCAGATACAACTGATGCACTGAAGTTACTACATAAAACTGATAAACTGAAATTACTCACACTACATCATATAAAACTGATGAACTGAAGTTACTTACACTACATCATATAAAACTGATGAACTGAAGTTACTTACACTACATCATATAAAACTGATGAACTGAAGTTACTTACACTACATCATATAAAACTGATGAACTGGAGTCACTAGATTTAAATACTTACACTACATCCGATGAACTGGAGTCACTGGATTTAAATCTTTTACTTGGTGGAGTTTCTGTTGTTGATTCCTCATCCTCGTCTTCTATTACACTTGTTCTACCAAATAAAACAAATAAACTCAGTAGAAAATCATTAAGTCATGGCATTCTTTTTCTAGACATTACATTAACCCTTTAGGTACCAGACTTACAGGAGATTCTTTATACCATGACGCCATAAAGCCATCATAATATATACATGTACATGTAGGGATATAAGGGATTCAAACCCTGCAAATGCATCTGGAATATGATAAACTCCTGGCCAATGCAGCTCCTCATTCAGTCAGAGAGAGAGAGAGAAATGGGGTTTAACATTCACTCAACACAAACTAGGTCAGTCTGAAAATAACGTACGATACAATTTTATTCCAATATTTGCCGGCGTTTAGGGGTCTTTACCAGTGGGAATAAATCAGAGAAATTACACGTGGTTGTCACTACAAGCTTGGGATCAAAACCACACCACTAGACTCAATGACAGATTCGGTGATATCAACTGCATGAGTTAGACTACTTGATCACCCACCCCCTCCCTGAATCTAGATAAAACACCAGATCCATAACATACTTTTTGCATAGATAGACCAGCAATAAAACTATAAAATGAATCCAGTATTTTTTACCTTTCACAAGACTGAATAATCTGATCCCAAGCTATACAATTATCAATGTCTGTTTCTCTGTTTATTTTCACCTTGTCACCTCGAAGAGCTTTACTAAAAACAATGTTATGTCTCTTTCTAAAACAATCTAACCATCCATTAGATGCTTTAAAGTCCTTGTAGCCAATTCTACCAGCATATTGTAAGGCTTTTCTACGAATAATTGGTCCAGACACTGGAACCTTTTCTATTATCGCATGTTCGATCCATTGTGTGAGAATTGCGTCAAGTTTATGTTTGGGATCGTCCCCAAATTTAGATAGTGGCAAGCGTTTTCTGGAATCATCGCATATAATAAGATTTTTATATCCATCTAAAATTTCTGTTTTTCTTCGTAGAATAGAACCAACTTGTGTTTTGCTAATGTTAAACACCTTAGCAAGGTTTCTGTGAGATTTACCCCCTTTTGCACTTTGAATAAGGGCTACCTTCATTTTCAAACTTAGTTCGTTGCGCTTTTGTTTGGGTGTTGTTAGAGGTGAGTCTAGATCATTAGGGCCATCAGAATCTGTGTCTGATAATGCTGGAACTGGACTTAATGGTGATCTGGTTAAGTCAGTCTCTGAAGAAACTGGATCAACCTTGGTTTTACTTTGCACACCAGAGGACAAATCTTGTCCCTTCTCTCGAAGTTGCACAGAAACTGAATAATAACCTCCAGCTCCATTATCAGATGCCATTTCAATTCTATTTAAATTAAATTTGCAGTCTGCATTAAATCAAATTGTTGTTATGGTTTAGAGCTCTTATGGCTTTAAAAAAATTTAGTCTTGATTCTTGATCTGGATAAAAAGAAAAGGGTAGAACATTTATGAACAACAGGTGAATAAAAATATAAAACAAATTATTAGTAGGCCCTATACATGTATCTTGTATGACTAATCCCAGAAAGAGTGAAAACAGGGGTTTATGGTCCACTTGCCAAAAACTCACATTTGGACTAAAATGTTTTAATAAATAATGATTTAGTTCCTGTGATTATTTTTCAATGAATACCGGTACTTTAATTCACATCAATTTTGAATCAAATCAAGTAACGATTCTATAAAAATCCAAAGGTAGAGTATAGGGGGGGCGGGGGGGTTGGTATTGTTCACCAAAAAGATCTTGACTAATATATACTGTATGATATATTTCTTAATTTAAATAATTGTGTGGCGGAAAAAAACTAGAAAATCAAGAGAAAACACACAAGGTTAAGCAGGTGATCCTACTCCATGTCACATACACTATGAGGCATCAAATACCATGACACTTTTCCTGTAACTACTTCACGATCTTATGATCAAGCGCATGCATTTTACCACTCGGAACTACCCTCCCCACTCCACTACAAAATGGTAAACAATAAACATATAGCAGTCTATATATATATAGTGCTACATGTATATTATAAAAGCTAACTAATTATAAATTATCCTAAATTTAAATGAACGAGTGACTGATGATACAGACAAATCTCGGATGCAACTATTAAAATGAGGACTGTGCTAACATTGATTGGCATTGGAGAATTACATAAACAAATAGATGGCACAGAGTTCACGAATCAGTAGATTAAATTTTCTTACTAATAATTTGTATTAATTGTTTTAATAAACACAGTGATGCAATTCTTCTTTTTTTAACATCCACAATATTTTTTTTGTTTTTTTGTTTATCCCAAAACATTAGAGTAACCTCCCTTTTACTGATATTTCGGGTATTTATTTTCGTAGCCATCAATCATTTTATTTTTGCAACTGATGCTTTAACACTTTGTTGTTCGATTCCTTTATTATCGTTAATGTTTTTGTTTAATTGTGAGAATTTCAGTATTGACTTTTCTTTAAGCTAGGCTATTCGCCATTCGAATGGCGAATATCCACTCCGTTTCTTTAACAAGTGCTTTTGTTTTTGCACAATCAATATGTAAAGGGAGGCAACCCCACCTAGGGTTAATTTCCCTAAATGGAGTCGTTTCCCTTTAATCGTTAGTGCCACACTAAAAAATATCGTTGAACTTCTATCGACATTCATCCATTATGTTTGCAAAATCACTCTCGCGAAAACAAATCTGATTAATTTATTTTTAATGTGAATAATATCAGGGTGGCATCCGTCGCTGGAACGCATAAGCCTACACTGCCCCGCTTTGCACACCATTGTAGGCTAATCTTGACACTTTTTTGCAATTCATATTTAAATTCCTGTAATGGCAGGTACCGTAATGTCTGGGTATTGTCTTGATATTCAGGTCAAATTGTTATTTCTATGCTATTATAAAGGGTTTGGACTCTATGGAATGTCCGTGAGGTATTCTGGTACTGGTTTTCCTGTTTGTCGGGCAGTTTGGCTACATTTTCTTTTAATACTAAGGTTCTCACTTGTCAGGGTGGCATCCGTCGCTGGAACGCATAAGCCTACACTGCCCCGCTTTGCACCCCATTGTAGGCTAATCTTTACACTTTTTTGCAATTCATATTTAAATTCCTGTAATGGCAGGTACCGTAATGTCTGGGTATTGTCTTGAAATTTAGGTCAAATTGTTATTTCTGTGCTGTTATAAAGGGATTGGACTCTATGGAATGTACATGCAGTATTCGGGTACTGGTTTTCCTGTTTGGCGAGCAGTTTGGCTACATTTTCTTTTAATACTAAATTCTGACAACTGTTTCTTGCTTTAATGAGAAAATAAAGTGCCAACCAATATTTAAAATAGGCTGTAGGTTAGTAATAGCAGAAATAACAGGTCAGGCAAATTTGTTTTCTCTCCTACATTCATCAAACAAACAAATGTTGAACAAACAAACGTTCGAAGAATAGCCACCGTTCGAGCCTCTCTCCAATCTAATCCTATACATGTATGCACCTAAATGAGCAGAAATAATGTCTCATAGCTTCTGATTTTATAAAATTCTAGAGTAATCCCCCCAGACCTCATTTCAAACTTGACGCCTTCACCTCGGACCCGTCTCTGCTCAAATTCCTGGACACACAAAGAAAATCCACTTGTCTAGTACCTATGTAATTTTATTACAAAACTTATTAAGTCATAAAATACAACAATGTTAACAACAACCATAAAATGGATGATAAAAGCAGTCATTATGACATTATTTGATAATAACTATACCCTGAGCGCTGAACATATTATGTGTTAGAAACAAATTTTTAACAGGAAACATAAATATCTAGATTGATCCAATAAACATAAATATCTAGATTGATCTAATAAACATTCAATAAACATAAATATCTAGATTGATTTAATAAACATAAATATCTAGATTGATTCAATAAACATTCAATAAACATAAATATCTAGATTGATTCAATAAACATAAATGTCTAGATTGATTCAATAAACATAAATATGTAGATCGATTCCATGAACATAAATATCTAGATCGATTCAATAAACAAATATTTAGATTGATTCAATAAACATAAATATGTAGATTGATCCAATAAACAGTAATATTCTAACAAATATAAAATCCTGTTGCAGTTTCTTTTATGATGACAAAATGTAACTCAATTTTTCCAGAACCATGTTGAATTACTTTTATGATGCTAATCATTTTGATTCATCAAGTGGCTTGATTTAACCATAAGGCCATACAAATAAATATTCTGGTTCTCAAGATAATCCTTTAAAGAAATCTGGCTACCATTTAGCTTCCATCTTGAACCCAAGCAGAATATATTTAACAATATCCATAACAGCTGCTCATCATGGCTTCTTCTTACTACTCTCTTCAACAAATAATTGTAACTGTAAAAAATAAAAGTAATTAAGGTAGTCGAACACAATTGTACGGTGGCTGATTTAGGACATGCAAAAAAAAAAAAAATATCTCGAACGCTCGAGATACTAAGTTGAGAGCTCAAGATACTAAGTCGAACACTTGAGATAATTGAGTCGAGTGCTCGAGATAATACAATCAAACATTTCTCGACCGATGTTGAGGGGAGGTTATCTGCTCCGTCACTGCAGCTTTGGATGGGCTGTAAAAACAAACAAATATCTTTATTCTTCAAGTTTATCATTAAATAATGCAAAAAATTATAAAGCTTAAATCATCGGTTGAGACGTGTTCAATTGTATTATCATTTCGAGCGTTCGACTTATTATCTCAAGTGTTCGACTTAGTATCTGGAGCGATGGACTTAATATCTCGAGCGCTCAAGATATTTATTATTTTTGCATGTCCTAAATCAGTCACCGTACAATTGAGAAAAGTGTAGACTTGTAAGATTTATTAAGTTTGTAGGTGACCATAATGGTGGGTGGTTTATTTTTTTTGGATAAATAATAGCAATATTTTCACTTGTGGAATTTTATATATTGATACAAATATTTATTTGTAGATGACCAAAATAACAATATTTTAACTAGTGGAAAATATACATATATTTATATTTGAAATCAATTTCAGGGCATATTTATGAAATAGCTACTTTAAATATTGCACAGGTGGAAATAAACAGTTTACCTTAAAATAGTCTGATTTCATGGTTTTCAAGGGAACTATTTTTGGATCCTCTAATAAAGTTTGTCTTTCATCAGCTTCCACCCAAGGAAAATTCTTGAAAATAAATTTGAAAATTTAAATGTAATCAAAAAACAAGGTTTGAAGTCGTTGATTGTCATTGGCATTTTTCGGACATTATAAACAATATGCTCTGCAAACAAATCGGGACAAAAGGATGGACAGAAAGCAGCCATTCTAATAACCCTCATTTAAGGAATAATAACCATTTCATATAGTGTTGAACATTTAGTCAGAGGCGCATTACAATAACAAATGCGATAAAAATAAGTAAAACTTGTATGAAAGTATATAACTTTTACAACAAGTCTACTGTCAACCTTCTGTGGCAGTAAAACACAACATAATTTTTATGGGACATCTATGATTGGTTTTATTCTAAAAGCATGACGTTTCAACAATAAAACCAGTGATTGACGTCCCATAAAAATTGTGTTCTCTTTAATGTGTTTCTCAATCACTAAATGCCACTTAAAGATTTTCTTCTGTGGCCGGTACTATTAATACTTAACTATTCGATCTAATTTGGCTAAGTGGGTAAGACGCTGCCTTGCTAGCCTGGAGGCCGTGTGTTCGATTATTGCATTGGCTGAGAAAGTTCATTGGGATTTACCAACATGGTTTCCCCTTGTCAGTGTTGCAGTCGTAGCAGTACTGAGAGTCTGACAAGGACAGCAGCCTTGTCATTTGTATGGCACGAAAAACCAATATCTCGTGTGAAAGATCTCTTGGGAGTTAGACTTCGATATAAGATTAGGCCAAGGTGCCGGCCGCTGCCCGGGCCAAATTTCCCTCATAGCAGACTGAATGACGTATGTCTGTCTTCATTAGCCCAGTCGGAGCAGAACAATAGGACGTTAAACCCCATTTCATTTCATTTGATATCTAATAGTACCCTGCTAAAGTATTATAATGTCAGTCTGAGAAAAATTTTGATTTGTCCTAATGGAGACCATATGATTTTTTTATCAATCACATGCTCATCAATGGATAAATTTAAATCCTCAATTTCCAAAAAATGTCAGTTCTAACTGTAACAGAATTTTTTGTTTAAAATTTGAAAGCCTTGTAATGTGCAACAGAACGGACAATTTAAACAGACGGCAGCTCATAGATGTTTAAACTGTGCAATAAGCATAGTCTCGCTTTACAAGGCAATATATGTCTGAAAATAAAATGTAAGACTGTGTTACCTTGGCTCTTTGAAGATGGTATACTTATGATTCCAGTACTGTGTGTAATATTTTTTATTCTAATTTGTCACAGTGAAGACTGGGGGGAGAGAGAGAAATTTGGTTTAACGTCAACTCGACACAAACTAGGTCATTTCGGGACTAACATATGCTTTAATTTTATTTCAATTATTTGCTTGCGTATAGGGGTCTTTAGCAGTGGGAGGAAACCGGAGGAACCGGAGAAAATCCACGAGGTTAGACAGGCAACCCTACTCCTTGTCACGTACAACTGGGGATTCAAAACCACGCCAGTTGACTCAATGACAACCATTGTGATACAGCGAGCTTGTGCTAACCATTCGACCATCAACCCCCCCATCCCCTCCCCAATGAAGACTGACTTATATATTTACCTGTACAACATTTTTCTCTTCTATTTTACCAGCAGCAGATTCTTGTGTGTGTATATGAACAGACCATGTACAATCTTTTATATAAAAATAACAATTATAGGTACCCTTCCAAGTTAGTCATTTTCAATTGAACTGTAACACTTAGGCATTATGCAAGATTTAAATCTGCCTATTTCAGGTCTTTATCTAGGCCTTAAATGTTATATAAATTATTAATTAGACATTAATTAACATGACAAGACCAATATCAACCCTCGATGCCAGCCCAGCAGATGACGCCAATTTTAAGTAGATTAGAACAGTTCGGCCATTTAATGATTTAATTTAAATATGGATAATCGAGACTTTGTTTATTAAAATAACAACAGTAGCAAAAAAAATCGAGGCTACACTATTCTTCTAATGTATATAACTGGACTCAGAGTAAAGTAATTTGACTGGAATTTTCAACATATTCCCTTTTCATTATCTATTTTTTTTTTAACTATTATAGCGAGAAATGTCTACTGTTTATCACTGTCAGCTGTTTATGAACTTGAATCGATAACTTGACTTTAATATCTATTTTTTAACTATTATAACCAGAACTGTCAGCTGTTTATCAAATCTTACATAATACCACTTTTATAAGTAAAAGATTCTTTAGTCAAATTCACACATATTTGGAGCAAGCCAAATACAATTTGGAGCCAAGATGGCTAATTGAGTCCAAACTCCACTGACACCATCTAGGTCATTTTGGGATTACCAAGGTTCAATTTAATTTCAATTAATTGCTTGCGTGTAGGGTGTCTTTAGCATCTGTGAGGAAACCGGAGGACCCGGAGGAAATCCACAACGTTGGACACTTGACAAACCGTGTGATTTCACGCACACACACACATGTTAAACCACTAGTTCCCCCCCCCCCCACACACACACACACACACTTGGCAAATAGAAATAAGTTTAGATTTATAAAGACAAGATATTTTTACCTTCAGGTAGTGACTGTAACATGGCATCACAAACTGTTAATTTTAACAAGAAAGATCTTAACGAACCTTCCATTTCAAATAAATACTGGTCACTGAAATTAAATATAATATTATAGTTTTCACTTTATCAATTTTTAAGTTTTGAAGTCGTTATTTATTTATCGAAAAATGAAATGTTTTGGTCACAGAGAAGAATACACTATTTTCTCCAGAATGGACAACAAATCGCAATTTTGCTTGTATACTGAAATTATTTAAAAAATTGAAGAGTCCTGGGGAAGAACGATCTAAGTCACATTTTTGTCAAAACAGACTTTTGGACGAGAATGTTCGACGCGAACAGAAAGAGGGGGTTTAATTACAACTTCAAAATGATGTTTGATATGAATCCTAATTACCAGTACAACTGACTTCAACTTTTCAGGCAAATTAAGGTTAAAAAAAGGGTACGATGGACTTGTATTACTCCGGGAGGCCATTCCAGAAGGGCCTTGGTTCAATGGGACTCCGATCATTTTAACCGGATTGTTCCACAGAAAGCGTATACAATTTGCTACCAGATAGCACCATTAACTGGCCTACTTTTATATCGAATTCCAACTGCCAAGGGATCTTTTATGTGCACGCAAATGTGTACACGGGACCTCGTTTTTTTGTCAGACCCTTCATTCTGCATCACTGACAAGTGAGCGATATGATGGAGAATGGAGATGTTATGATATTTACCTTGTATTCCTGCCAACTGATGAGGTACCTATTTCAAATACAAATCTTTCTATAGGTTTATGGTGACATGTTAATATAACTACGACTATCTTCTCTATCTCTCCTTCTTCTAATAAAACCTTTATACTCTCTATAATATTACATATATACGATGTTACATCAGGATGGAGACACATCTGAAATTAAACAGCAGTTTGTCATACCAAAGTACAAATCATAGTTAAGACAACTCATTGTATTTGCATTTGTAATCCATGCTAAAATTTATTAAAATTGATTATTTAACATTTTTAAAATAAAACATACATTATGCAAGAGCTAAATCTGCCTATTGCAGATCTTTCTTTAGGCCTGAAATGTTATCTAAACTATTATTTAGACATAAATTAATTTATACAGACCATAATCAACTCTCGATGTCATCGCTAACCTGCAATATTTATTGGATTAGGATTTGATTTGCTGTTCAATTTTCATTCAAGATTAAATCATGAAATGGATAATCGAGACCGAAAATTCAATCGCTTAATTCTCCGTTCATATTGGATCGATTTGACTGAAATGTTCAGCAAATTGCCTTAACAGTTTCTAATTTTTAATTATTATAGTGAGAACTGCCAGCTCTTTATCTAATCTCCCATAATGTATATTTAAAAGACCAAAATCAAAATATCAAGAGTAGATAATATCCCGGTTTGGATTCATTCGGATTAAACAGCAGTCCATCAGATGTTTTCAGGTGTGGCTGGCTAGTTGTGACCAGTTGCTACATTTAGGGAGGAAGGGAGAGGGAGAGGGAGAGAGAGAAAGTTTAACATTCCCTAGGTCATTTCGGAACTAACATGATTTAATTTTATTTCAATAATTTGTTTGTGGTTTGTGGTTTGTGTGTGGGAGAAAGCCAGAGAAAACCCACGAAGTTGGACAGATGACCCTACTCCTTGTCACGTACAAGCAGCGAATTGAAACCACACCATTTGACTCAATGATAGAAGTAATGCGCATGTGTTAAACAATTTAGCTACCCAACCTCCAGAAACATTTAGCTAAATTTTATTTTGTCAGTTGGGCAAGAAGCCTCAAGAAAACATTTTATTTATAATACCTGTACAGGTACATTGTATTTCTTTCTTCTTTGAAACACACCTTGTGGATACAGTCCTCTATTATATAAAATACTGTGTATGGCAACCTCGACAAATTCACTCAAAATATCAGCAGATACTAAAAAAAAATAAATTCATGAAGATTGAAATAATAGCACCTGAATCAATTAGTAATTCAATTAGCAACAGTGGTCAGATTGAGGAAAAAAAACTGATTTGTATTAATGCAATGTACATGGCTTGTTCTATAGCAAGAAAGAGTGTTAATAGAAGTTTATCTAGTCATTTGACACACTAATATCGCGTGACGTCGATTGTAGTAATCTAGATACAAATTCATCCAGCTCGAGACCCTGTGGAATATTTTAGTTAAAAAATCATGTTGCTGAGGAACTTGAATTCCAGGTTCAATCCTTGTCTTGTCTAAGAATGCACCTTAGGATTTTTTTGATGGGTTCCCCTTGTGAGTCGTGCAGGACAGCGTCTAGTTGTTTGGATGGGACGAAAAACTAAGGTCCTGTGTATACGTTGATTTGTACATGAAAAAACATTGACAGTTGAAATTCGAATTAGAAGTAAGTCATAGCGCAACTGTATGGGCAAAATTTTCCTCATGGTACACTGTATGGTGTATGCCCGTCTTCATTAGCTCAATTGATGTAGAAAAGTAGGACGCTAAACCCCATTTCATTTCATTCTTCCCCTTTAATTTTACCTTGATATTTGTTGATGGCATCCATGTCAACACAAATCAAAACACAGCACCAAATTTTCTCTGTAAAATAGTAGAATAAATGTTAATATTAACGGTATTTTGGTTTACTTATTACAACAATATCTTTGGTCAAATTGTTTTCACCGGAATCTGAGGTTATGAATAAGTTGCCTTTCTGAAACACCTTTAACTTATAAATTATAGTCTGCAACTTTGGATTCTAATGTAACAAATATATGCCAACATGCTGCTTTAAGACGGAAGGAAAATAGGTCATTTTTGATGCAAAATTAAGCTCAAAATCTCTGTTTACATGGGGGATGCTCAACTGAATGTTTTGGAATTGAATTCTCTAAAACCCCAAAATAGGGATAAACAAGTGAAAGGGGGGATTTCGGACAACAACGCATGCGTCAACAAGATAAAAATATATCTTCACCAACCATGACAGCTGAAACCTATTCGTTGTGATTAATTACGTCACGATTCTACTAACACCACCTTGATCTGTTGTCCGGACTGACAGAAGGGCAACAGGTCTCACTCAAATGCAATTCTGGCACTTCCGGACATTCCAGATTGACAATCAAGCACCCCAAAACTGCCAAAGTGTCTGCAATAGGGGCAATAACTCTGAATAAAATTGATGCACGATTTTTGATTTCAATAAGTTCTGAAAACATGCTATTGAAAAGTAAGCCAAATTACAAACTGGATGATTGATAGAATCCATAATCATGGCATTCCATTAGCCAACTCACAGTCTGGCGATCGGCGGAGAGCACTCGGCTGTCTCGGCATGAGCCATGACTGACAGTGTGAGAGAGAGAGAAATGGGGTTTAACGTCCACTCGACACAAACTAGGTCATTTCGGGACTAACATGGTTTTTGAAATTTTATTTCAATAATTCGCTTACGCATAGGGGTCTTTAACAGTGGGAGGAAACCGGAGGACCAGGAGAAAACCCACGTGGTTGGAAAGGCGACCCTACTCCTTGTCTGACAGTGTGAGTGACAGTCAGTACTGACAGTTGTGTCACGAACTGATCTGAAACGAATTATTATTTTACTAATGGCACAATAATTACCTCCACCTGATGTCCCTACAGCCTCCTAGACTTGGCTGGATACTCAGCAAATTCACATTGTTCTTCAAAGACAATTCTAGGACTAAATCAACAAAATATTGTTTATTTTTTCCTGCTTATTATTGTTTGTCAAATTAAGAAATTTTGCCGCGGTTACAGAGTTATGCCCCTTTAATTAGCCAATAGCCTCGGTTACCAAAGTCACCAATCTTTGACTTTGTATTGTTTTTTTTATATCCAATCAGTCAACGTTAGGCGCCAAACGAGCAAGCAAGCCCCTAGCTATAGTTTGAACCATCTGACTTATTTTCTGTTTTTTTTATGATAAATATTTTATTGATTGTTATCGAAACCAGAATATCCCCATTGTTTCTGAGTCATCCGAAATATTTTGCTCTCTGAGCGAAATACCTGGGAGGATTAATAAAAAAAAAAAAGAATAGACATCGATGAGATAAACGAGATGTATAAAGTGTAAATTATCAAATTCAATAATCGCTTTTGCTGTGTGGCCTGTCTTATATAGAGTGGTTAAGTGGATTTATCTCCCTTTCATCTATCTATATTATATATATAGAGGATATTTGTTGTTTTAGAGTGAATAACATATTTTATTTCATCGAGAAGCAAGAAAACTTATATTTTCACGAATGCGTAGCATGAGTGAAAATATAAACGTTTTATTGCTTAGAGATGAAATAAATAAATATATTTATTTTATGATCAGTAGTGGAATACCGCGTTTTATCAGTGAAATAAAAGTGTTATTCCACAGGCTAGCAGTAGTCCATGTTGTTTTTACCTAAAATGATTGTAAAATCATAAAATAAATAGAACATTTGTCGTTTTGTCGTGAATAACATATTTTATTTCAACTCTAAGCAAGAAAACGTTTATATTTTCACTCATGCTACGCATTCGTGAAAATATAAGTTTTCTTGCTTCTCGATGAAATAAAATATGTTATTCACTCTAAAACGACAAATATCCTCTATATATTTGTGACTGTCGTTTGTCTGTCTGTCTGTCTGTTCGGGGTTGGCGGCTACACTAGGTCTGCCCCGAGTCTGAAATTTGGGGTATAAGGGTAGCTCGGACCGGGGAGTAACATAGGCTAGGTGGCGTTAGTCTACCACTTCCGGTTTCGGAGTTATGACCCCAGAGCGAAGCCGGGTATCTGTCTGTCTGTTCGGGGTTGGCGGCTACACTAGGCCTGCCCCGAGTGTGAAATTTGGGGTATAGGGGTAGCTCGGACCGGGGAGTAACATAGGCCAGGTGGCGTTAGTCTACCACTTCCGGTTTCGGAGTTATGACCCCCGAGCGAGGCCGGTCTGTTCGGGGTTGGCGGCTACACTAGGTCTGCCCCGAGTCTGAAATTTGGGGTATAGGAGTAGCTCGGACCGGGGAGTAGCATATAGGCCAGCTAGGTGGCGTTAGTCTACCACTTCCGGTTTCTGAGTTATGACCCCCGAGCGAAGCCGGTCTGTTCGGGGTTGGCGGCTACACTAGGTCTGGCCCGTGTCTGAAATTTGGGGTGTAGGGTTAGCTCGGACCGGGGAGTAACATAGGCCAGGTGGCGTTAGTCTACCACTTCCGGTTTCGGAGTTATGACCCCCGAGCGAAGCCGGGTATCCTGCTAGTAATTAATATTTTTTAGATCCCCATTCCATACATTATATTTATGTGAGCCGAAATACGGCAGGCCTACCGTTTATCGTAAATTAGCCTATATTGTTATATATATATATATATATATAATTATTATCGTTTTTTGTCTTTCATTTGGTCTATGGTGTTGAATGTGCCAGTTTTTGTAATCGCTTTTGCTATGACGGTAAACTTTTTCGGTCATTTTAGCCCCCCCACCAACTGACGGGGAAAAGCAAGCTTTAAGTGGACGTCGACGTCAAAGTTCTTGCTTTCTATGTAGTGTAGGCCTAGGTTTTATTTTTATTATTTTCTTTTATTTTATGCAGCCAAAGTTAAACAGTGAATCTAAGTCTCTAGCTATACTATTTTGTTACCTGTATCATTTGTAATAAAAAGAATAGAGACATCGTCTATTATAATTGTTAACATTTAATTTTTAATAATAATATAGGCCTAGGCCTACAAGTGTAGGCCTTAATGTTATATTTTTACAGGTAGGCCTACTACCAGTACTAGGTAGATAAAATTAGAACTTTATATTATACTATAGTATTTCTATGCAATTTTAAAACGTTTAACCCCAATGCATTTCATTTGCAATTAAAAATAGCCCTTAAATCTAGGCCTAGAGCTATCTGTTTAGGCCTAGGTACTCATTTGTATTTCCAAATTTAGAATGTGCACTCCATTGTGACAAATTCAAACGATGTCAAAAAATCAGGAAAAGAATCCTGTTTCACCCAACCTATGTAATACTAATAATCTGACTGCGAATGTGTCGCCGTAACGAACAATGTCCATTTTGTGGCGGAAGGAAGAGTCACTGCAAGCCATCCGTAATGGTCGTATAGAAGTTCATTTGGGCGAGGGGACGAGACGCTGCGGGAAGACCCAGATTAAATATATAATAAGGCCCTGGGAAGGCTCAATTCATAACGTTTTTTTCCATCCACTGGAGCCAGGTATTATGACGTCATATGTGGATTGTGGGTTAGGAATTGCCCAGGGTTAGGGCTAGCCCTGTCTACATCTCGAGACTCTGACGAAATCTGCAGGCCACAGCCCTTACCCGAAGTTACCCTAACCATTTTCCTAACCCACAATCCACATATGACGTCATAACACCTGGCTCCAGTGGATGGAAAAAAACGCTTACCTCATAACGTCGACGAGAAAATCTGTCATTTTGTGACGTCATATGACAGCTCACAGGAAGTGAATGACTGATCATACCTAGGAGTATAAATAGAATACTCCTTGGATCATACCACCACCACAGAGTTATTTTTACTCTGTGCCACCCCCTATCGGCGTGTACTGCGTCCTGCCTGGTATCATTGAGTGTATACCATGGAGGTGTCAATATATACACCTCTATGGTGTAACCCCCAAATACTTCACTGCAGATTTTTAAAAAAATTCTTGAAAACTCTGGGCTCGCTGATAATCAATAAGGTTCATCCTCTATAGTGCCAACAATCCTTCAAAATGCGCCCACACAACAGCTATGTCTCAACAGCAGATTATCCGAAAGGAAACTTGGATGTTGAATAAATTGAATAAGAATCTAGCACGTGACAAGTACGTGACAAGTAGTAGGGTCACCCAGTTTCCTCCCACTGCTAAAGACCCCTACGCGCAAGCGAATTATTGAAATAAAATTGAACCATAAGTAGAGTTCTTTAATGAATTAAGTAGGATATAGACTCAAAAATATTACAGACTATGAAGATAATATAAGAACCCGGCAAAATACTACCTCATATTAATTTTTGAACTTTTCAAAAATTCACAGAGAAAATACAAAATGGCAAAAAATGTCATTGTTATCGTAGGCCTATAGGCTATGGATTCTATTTCATCTCTTTTGTTTAGATTTTATTTTCTTTTTTGTTTGTAGTATGCAGTGTATCAGATATGCACACCTGCATGAGATGCAAACTGTTATAATCCCTATGGAATATCTTTATGATTTACTGTTATAACACGAATAATCACTTATTCCCTGTTCAATAAAGTCGGTCACCGGGTGCAGCTGTACAGTTTCAAGGACCATGGCCTCAAGTGCCCGGGGTCAACTCTCCACTTTTTGCATAGTCAATAGCACATGTGGCATGATTTCAATTTTAAAAAAGAAACAGTAAGTAAACCTATTTTATGTATGTTATTTGTGGCTAGAAATTATATGTTTTTATTGATGCAATTGAAATTTCAAAGCAAACTTTATTTTTTCTGAAAATTCATGTGAAAATTAAGTGACTATCAGTATCATATCTGCTAACTGCTACACTATCATGACTATGTCTGACCCACCAGACCAATAAGGTGCAGAATTTAATGCAGTGATATTCTTATGTGCTCATAGATTGTCAGAAATGTGAAGAAATTCAGTAATTTGTGTAATTTTTATAATATCAAGAAAATTATGTGTATTATAGGGTCTTGACTCGAATGGTCTAACCCCCCCCCCCCCAACCATTCTGAAATCATCTACAAAACGGTCAAAACCTCAATTGTTCAATACATTCCACTGTTTTTGTGTTTATTTTATATAACTGTTTCATGCAGGAGCCACGTTGGATATCTCTTATGTGTGTAAGGTGCGGCTCGTTAACCAGGACAGGAGTTCCTGCCTCCTAGTCCTAGGCTTGATCTCGGTGTTGGGAGTGAAAGATCCGCGGGATTTTTAGGCATGGATCCCCCTTGTCAGTGATGCCGGACGGAATAGCCTCTAGTCATTCGTAATGGATAAAAACCGTGGCAATGCGTGAAAGAACCTTTGACAGTTGCTCTGAGTTGGAATTCGAAATGGAGTAAGGTCGCTGTTCGGACAAAATAACACACTGCATGCCGTATGCCCGTCTTCATTAGCTGCATTCTTAAATCTACTGCAGATCACAACGAATGAAATCAATTGTTTTGCAAAAACCTTGATTGAGTGTTAGGTTGGTTTTTTTGGGTTTTTTTTTTAGGGTTTTTTTTTTTAAAGGAGGGGGCTCTATTTGTTATGCCCCCAAACTATCATAATTTTCCAAAGGACGGTTCAAGGTGGGCGCTAATCATCAGCAAAAAAAAAAAAAAAAGAATAAAGAAGTTTGACACATATACACATAGGCCTATGTAAAATAGTCTATATTTTTCAAAAACAAAGACTTTAAAATTACAGGCAATGCTGGCCACAATACCGAAAAATAACGAACTGGACAACGAATCTGGAGTTTTTTCTCCTCGAAAATTAACTGTGAAATTACAGAAAAGTAAAGAAGAAAATGGTATAAGGCCTATAATATATATATAAATGTAGGCCTATATATTTTTGAAAGAATAAATTTTGACTATTTTGTATTAAATTAACATTGAGGATACAGAATTTTAAATTGTAAAAAAGAATATTGGATGTAGGCATATACAATATAGTAATACATGTAATCCTATATGTCCAACCTCGTGGGTTTTCTCCGGGTCCTCCGGTTTCCTCCCACTGCTAAAGACCCCTACGCGCAAGCGA